AAATCATTCAGATACTACACCCTATGGTCATCGATTATCTTTGGCCACATTTGTATATAGTTGATTTTTCATAATATGTTTTAATTGTTATGATCTGAGAGTTACTTTATTTACATTTATTCCTGTTTCCAGGATTTTTGGTAATGAAGACGACATTTTCATATTTTCCAGGAATGTTCGAAAACAAGTTGGAAGCTAAATGTTATTTTAAAAAATAAAATCAAAGGAGCTAATCCTCAAGGGCTTACATAAGAATTAAGTTATACAATACTCATAGATGATATTACATCAACAAATCTTAATGTAAATATTGACAATTTTTTTTATACTTTTAATGTCAAAGAAATGTTAAAGTTAACAGTCTTTCACTGCGTATTCATTTTTCTTTATAAACTTCAAAATAACATGTAATAAACGTTTCTTGGAACAATGTTTAACTAAATTTTAGAAGTTAGTTCATTGAATTTTATCAAATCTAATTCAATTCAATATTAAAATAATTCAGTTTATTTAATTTTATTTAAATTTTAATCTTGTTATATGTTTGTTTTAAGTTCTAAAATAATTTTGTCAATTTTAAATCATCAACTAATCAACTAGTGCAAAAAATGTTTGCACTTTGCACTCTGTCTCGTTAACACATATTTGCAAATCAACTTTCTAAATAAAAATTTTTTTTTTACATTTTGCCTCCCTGTTCAGTGAATCTTTTATCATGGTAATTTTTTGACATTTCTGTTATTAGATTCCTTATGAACTCTGCAGTCAGCTGTATGTAATTTGTCATATTCAGCAGCATGTGTTTTAAGTATTCATTCTCTATTTGGGCCGAAGGGGGAAGGGGGGGGGGGGGGCACCTCTTCTACCCCTAATTCCTTTTTTCTTCTTTTTCTATTTTATTAATTTTCCGACTTTCAGGCTTATTGGCTCTTGGTAATGTTGAATTCTGGAACACTTTCCATAGAAAGCCCCTATTTTTCCCCGATTTTTAAAGTGTTTACCACACATGTGGAATTTTTTTAAAGGTTACCCATTGGAGTTGCACCGCATGTACATAAATGGGGAGTTGCCTCTTTTGTACTTCATAATACGGGCTCCTCTACAGCAATCTGTTCCTCAAAGCCTTTAGACTATAAACTGGTATCATTGTGCATGGTGCACAACGTTCTACTTTTTATTTTTTCATTTTCTTGTTTCTTGAAAGAGAGAGGTAGAAGAGAAGCATAAGCATAAATCTTAAACTCTGCACTATTATTTTCTTTTTTTCCTAGTAGGGTGAACTGCCATATTTTATTCCACATAAGGTTCCGCTTAGCCACGTGAAACTAGGAGCGCTGTACAACTGGACATGACTTTCCTCAGACTAAATGGCAACCGAACTAACTAACAGAATTAATTTCTACATTCTATGCCTAAAAGTTTTAGAGCAGAAGTATTTTGTAATTAAAGAAATATTCTGGGTTTTAAAAGCCATTTAAACATATTTTGATGGATTTAAAGCTCAAATATGTAAAAGGTTTAAGTTTGAGGGCTATAAAACTCGTTAAAAGGAACAATTTGAGGGCTCATTTGGACTTTTTTTATTTCAGAACTATAAAGCTCAAAATCAAAGTCTTTTGACAAATTCTTGAGTTTGGGGCTCATCATCTTAAAGACGTGTTAAGTTTGAATGTTATAAAGTCTGTATAAAAGGTTGATTTAAAGGGCTAGAAAACTTGCATGGAAGGTTTAGTTTGTGGGTTATAAAGCTTATATGGCAGGTTTAGTTTGAGGGCTATAAAGCTAATATAGACGGTTCAGTTTAAGGGCTATAAAGCTCACATAGAAGGTTTAGGTTGTGGGCTTTAAATCTCACATTGAAGGTTTAGTTTGAAGTATAGAAGTTTTATTAATTTTATACACACTTTATCCTTTATTTCTTTTCACACACACTTTATCCTTTATTTGTTTCATACACACTTTATCCTTTATTCATTTTCATACAAACTTTATCCTTTATTTATTTTCATATAAACTTGATCCTTTATTCATTTTCTTACAAACTTTTAATAATTTTCATTACAGACTTTATCCTTTATTCATTTGCATACAAACTTTGCAATATATTTAATTTTATACAACTTTTTCCTTTATTCATTTTCATGCAAACTTTATTCTTCATTAATTTTCATACAAACTTTATCCTTTATTCCTTTTCATTAAAAATTTATCCTTTATTCATTTTCATACAAATTGTATCCATCATTATTTTCATATATATATTCATCATATATTTATAACAAGCTATATTCTTTATCAATTTTCATACTAACCTTATCCTTTATTCATTTTCAAAAGATGAAGACTATTTCAATTTGGTCTCTCAACCCTCCTATTTATTGTGGAACTCTGTACACCCAAATTAAAATCAATGTTTATGGTATAATGATCAAGTCAAAAATGAATTGCTTTGTTTTGATTAATTTAAGTTTATCACATATATTAGAAAACATAATTCTCAGAATTTCTATTAAATCCCAGCATGAAATACAACTTTTTTAATAAAAAGTAGCAAAACAGTAGGAGCGATCAAAGTTTAAAACAGTGTGGAACACTCAGGTTTATCCCATGGAGTGGAGGCCATTGGAGGCAACAGATTTCTGCTGGAGGGATTAAATATTTTTATTCAATGGAAATTACTCTGTCAGAGGAATTAAAAAAATTACTTACACATTATCCACATGTATCTAAATATTGAAATTCAGATCAGGACTAATTGCATTTCATATTTGAATAAATGAAAATAGGTTCATTCATCACAATTTGCATTATTAGAATTCTCCTAAACAATTTACAGAAACATTCAAAATATTTGATTGTAAACTTTCTTGCAAAATATTGAAGAATGTCAGATTAAAAATAATTAAATTCTAAAAACAAATATTATTTTTTCTAAATTCTGATAAGAGAAAATATAATGGTTGACATTTTTTTCGGAAAAATTTTCAAATCATAAATTTTTTTTCAGAGATAAATTTTTAATCTGAACTTTTCCAGAAAAAAATAATGATCAAAATTATTATCTTTAAGAAATCTTAGAGATTGTTTAGTTGCCAGAAAATTCTGGAGGATATTTCACAGGTAAAAATATTTGAAACAATTCATCTTTTAACCCCTAAAGAGTGAATTTTTTATGACTTTATGCAACCTACCAGTGCGAGGGGGGGGGGGGCGGGGTAACAAACCAAGCCTCCTATAAGGCATTTGATGTTTGTTGTAGCCAACCAAACTCTTGTAACTGTACTCGTTTATACTTTAAATTAAAGAGATTAATACGGATAAGAAAATGCAAAATGCATGAATGGGGTAGAAGAAAAACCTTGCTGAGTTGTTAAACTGTCTGTCTGTCAAGAAATTCAATAATAATAATTTTGGTTTTTAATCATATCCTTCAAATATGAGATATCAAATCACAGGATCACCATAAACTGTTTACACTTTACAGGGAATGATTAACAAATCTGAAAATGGAAAATAAAAAATATGCAGAATAAGACTTTAGTTTCCAGTGAAATGCAAAAATCATTAGTTACAGCAAAATCCTAAACTTTATTCATTGAAACATTTTCTAACACTTACTTTTTTATGATAATGTAAGACAAAATTTGTAAAAAGCCCCATTTTCTTTGTCCTTTCCTCTTCTTTTACATTAAATATTTGATTTGTGACATGGACTACAGTAATCATATCAGATATAATTGAATAAAATCAGTAATTTGAGATCTGGTCACTTTTTTATCTGTCATATCTTTATATTATTATCATTTTTAAATATTTTAAAATATTTTTTTCATTTTATAAGAAAACAGTGTATACACTCAATGCAGATTTAAAAGTTGTATATCTTTACTTTTGTAAATTTCTCTATCAACATTTGTCGGAAATTGTGATTTTTTAACAGTGCCTTATATCGGGCTTGGGTTATGATACACCCCCCCCCCTCATTTGCAGTAATAGGCACTATTAAATAAAAAAAATTCACTCTTCATGGTTAATTTTATAAAACCTTAGAACTAAAGGCACTGCTTTTCAAAACAGAGGGAAGTTATTTTTTTTAAATTCAACTAAAGGTCACATGAATAGTAAAATCGTAATTTTAAACATTTGAAATATTAATGAACAGGTAAACATTGTACATTAAACAAATCCCTTTGATTAAAGTTTTGTCCTACTGGTTAGGAATTCACAAATTCTAAGTTTTCCCTAAAATTTAGAAACACATTTCCTGTAAATCATCAAATCATTTTACATATTCTATTCTTGGATCAAATAATGTAAAAAATGAAAAAACACAGAGACAAATGTATGATGAATGATATAAGTTTAGTATTTTTGAAATGTTGACACTTAAATAAAAATATAAAAGTTGAAGTGGGGTTTAAGGGTAAAGAGTGAAAATCCATTATGCTTTTCTATAGTTCATACCAAATAGGTTTTCAAGTACAATAGATGGCAAAAGAAAAATCGATCAACTGCGCACAACGTCATATGTGTCAAATGAAAAAAGAAAAACGACATGTCCTCTAATTAGTTGGTATGATTTCAAAGATTCGGTGGAGATAAATGTCGTCTTTGTAGGAATACGTAAAAAATATTTACAACTCAAAATTAGATAGAGTATTTTTACTGTCGTTTGGTGGCTTAATTTTTTTTCACTGTATATCTATGTAAACTAAATAGTCTAAATAGTCCAGGCCCCAGCCCTCTAAGTAGCATTAAAGTGAATATTTCTAGGGTTATTATAGGTTTACTGTTCAATTTCTAAAGCCAGCTAATTTTTAAAAAAATTTAGACTTCTAACTTTTTGAAACACTCATGCATTATATGAATTTTACAAAAAATCATTTAGATTACCTTGTTTTAAAAGTGAGGAAGTTTTGGTGGGTTAAACAATGACTGAATTATACACATTATATCATCATACACAACAACAACAAAAAACAATAATAAAAATACAAAAATATTTTTAACTATTTATTAAAATTGTTTTAAATTTCGTATCATGTGATGACCTTGTTTGTTTACTAAAACATTTAGATGCCTTATTCTTTGGTATTTTACAAAAATGTTGATAATGGAGATCTTGGTTCTTTTACAGTTATTGATGGGATTACAGAGGATAAGAGAAATTTCTTGCGGGGTAGATTTCTGAAAAGTTTCGAAAAAGTGCTCAAATTTGGCTTAAAATCAAATTTGGCAAAATGAAGAGCACACACTCAGCTATATCTGATTTCATTAGTGTCGTCAATTTTCAAAGAATTCGGCCACAATACCTGCTTCTTTTTGTTCTTTGGAAATTTAAATCTGGATGTCCGAAGGGGTGGAAGGCATCCAGGCACAAAACTAGTTCTTCGCCTGCCTCCTAAATGAAAAAATATAATTAAAGAAGACCAAAAAATATCATTTAATCCATAATAATGTAATGTTGACTTAGTATATGTTCATAGTATACCATTAAAGTACCCCCCCCCCCCCACCTTGATGGATTTAAAATTAAAAAGAAAATATGTCGTTTTTTATCAAAACAAATCACACAGACATCCATATTGCGAAATTTAAATATAATATACATGTTATCTCACAAAACACTTTGCAGATCCAAAATTTTGATTGCAACAGATAACTTAAAGAAGTGATTGTAATATAAAAAGAATGCCTGGAACAAACTGAAATATCGGGAATTCTAATGTTAACATGATTGTGAACATTTAATCAAAATTGTTGCCTCACCCAATATCCCTACTCCAAATTTTTTTTGGGACACCCTGTTTATAATATATATATCTACATAGACTTTCCATTCATAATTAAAGCACTTTTAAAATTTTATATATTTCTTATGTGTTCCCAAAAATAGTAAAATACGACATTTGAGAAAAAAATTAAATATCCATAGAAGACGACATTTCATTAGAAAATTACCGTTTCTTGTTGCCTGTATTTCCCCTGGATCTGGGGGTTTATCCACGATTAGATCATTCCAGAGCACTTCTCCAAAGATATCATTAAACATTTCTGAAATATGTTTTAACGTTATACTTTCCAATTACAATGTTAAAGGGTTATGTACAATATCTGTTTCAACCCCGTTATTTAGTCAATAGAACTTTAAATGAAAAAGTGTAAAACCAGAAATACAGAACATATAATATTGCACTAATTTCACTAAAAGATAAGCACTTTAGTTTTACATGACCACTTTTATTTATAGTTTTGTCAGACAGAAAATTTGAGTTGACACTTGTGACGTTTAAACAGCTGTACTGAAAGTGTACGCATTATGTGTTGCCGTTCTGTTGTGCTTGACAACCTATTTGGTTCATACAAAGTTTTATGGTTCAAAAAAATAAACTAGAAGAACTTATTTAGCCATAAACAAACTTGTAAAATTTAAATATTGATGTCTAACAATATTTATTTATTACATTTACAATTTTTATATAGCTAGGCCTGAATTTTAGAATATATGTGTATACATAAAACAAGGGAAATGCAGGGTTTCTTTTCAATCTAAAAATCAGCAAATATTTAAAATCTGAAAAGTTTTAATGAAATCATTTAATTAACTGGCTTCGCAATGTTTGCACTACTTCAAAGTTTTAATCTTTATTTACAATAGAAGTAAGAAAATAAGAAGAATTAACAAAAATAAAAAAGGATAGAATTAATAAAAATAAAATAGGAAAGAAAATGAGAAGTATTAACAAAAATAAATTAATGATAATTAATGATAAGTAATAAAAATGAGAATTCATGGTAATGATTTCTAGATTGTCTTTATAAGAATTTTTTTATTTATACTTCTACAAGGAAAGCTTAAATCTGTAGAATTTTTTTGTGAGCTTGTGTGCTGATGTATAAAGATTGCACATTATTATATTGTTGTAAAATGAGAAAATTCCAATATGCAAACAAAATACAGTTGTCCCACTTTACTGTTCATATTGCTGAAATATTGCATACACATTATTTACAATTGTGCAGAATATATAACAGTTTTTAAACACTTTTATAAAATAAACTCAAGCAGACGTAAATTTATCATGATTTTTGAAACTAGGTCTAACAATGCAATCTCCAAGTTGTCCCTTAATGCTCATGTTTATTGCATGGGACACCCTGTACATTTGCCTGGATCAAACATTTTTCAGAAAAAAAATGTAATTGTAGAATGCTGGTCATTTACATATGTATTAAATTTATTTTTATTTATTTCTATACATTTCTATTTATTTCTATTAATTTCTATTCATTTGTATTATCTATATATATTACTTTTCTTGCCTGTTTGTTTGTTTGTATCAAAGAAAATTCAAATCAGTTCATTTTTATTTATGCTATTAGTTTCTATTCATTTCAAGCATATACTTTTCTTGTCTGTTTGTTTGTATCAAATAAACGTCAAAACAGTTAAATCGAGGGGGCCCAACTTTGTTTAGTATTGTTCACTGTTCATTTAAACATTGCAAAAATAACCTGAATGCATGTTTCGCGACCAGTTGGTCTTGATCTATTTATGAGTAGACCGTGGATGATTTCCTCTAGTTTCTGTGATGCCCCTGGATCTGAATATGTGTACACCACACATATTCAGATCCAGGAATCCGGCACCACAACTAGTTTTACTTGTAAATACAAGGGAACTCATGGGGTCCACCAAGGATGTAATGCAAGGAAAGTTATTTCAGAAGTGTACGCATCTTTTGCATCTTTTGTACTGCAGTGTACTGTCTCTGGGCGGTAATGTAAACACAAGACGGATGTACAGCCTGACATGGGATCCATCTTTCTCATAAAAAAATCAATAAAATATTCTGGTCATAGGAAACTATTATGTGAATTATCAAAATTATCAAATTTAATGCTTTTATCCTCCTCGGATACTAAATGAACACTGATGCATCTATTCTTGTTTACAAATTTTGCCCAAAGAGAACTGGTTTCAATATGTACGCAGAGTATACACGACGCAATTAACTTTCCTTGCATTACACCCTTGGGGCCCACTATAGTTTCAGTAGAAGTAAATATTTCCATTTACTGATAGCGCCGATTAAAGGATTCATATCTCTAATTGGATAATGAGAATGATAGAAAGATATATGTTACCGCCATACTATTTCTATTGGTTCAGAATAGACAACAAAACACATGACTGAACCCTGATTTGATCAGGCGCTAATGGACTCGGCATACAGGAGTGGGGGACTGTACACAATTTCTCAGTGTTAGCTTAGTGTCGGTTCAAGAAACATATATCTGTGAATTTATCCTTTATTATTACTTTGATGCTTAAATGCTCAGTAATTTAAACTGATTTTATTTTCAGAGAAAACATTTTGTGACCAGATAAATAGATTCCATAATTGGTCATGTTGAGGTGTTTGTTTTGTTCTCGGGTTTGGTATAAATTTTATATTGTACAGGGTAGACCAAATCACTTGTAATTCTTTTTTTTTAGTCTTAATTATACTATGAAGGACGGAGCTTACCTTGAAGTTACACATACAAAATTTTAGAAGTGTTCTTATTGTTTTACACCAAGATATTTAAAGATTGTATACATAGTTCATTTTTAAATTTGTTTTTTATTATTCTACGAGGTTCTTTTTTGTAGATTGAACCAATCAAACTAACCATGCTTGTCTTTACTCGGAGAGATTGAATAGAGTAAAAAGTAGTTAGGGATACAGTCTGCTCAGCAAGAACTAGATTTTGTAGGGATATAGATAGTTCATTGAACAGTAGGGCGGTCAGTGTGATCGTTTTATAATGCAGAAAACCAAATTGAACCTGAATTTTTCTTTTAACATGTCTTACTAAATTCCATTCCATTAATTTGATTTTTTAGTTTTGAAAGGTTTGCAATAAAACAGGACAAAGGGAGCATATTGTTACTGGAGCATGATAAGCCTTTTTCATTTATTTTTGCATATTTAGCGTTCATGGACGACCCATTTTGATCGTGTTTTTTTCCATTGTTCCAAACAAATTTACTTAGTTTGTTCTTAAAACCAGAGTTACTTTCCATCTATTTTGTTTCTTTTCTCATTGAATGATTGTTTAGTAAAATCATTCATTCAATAAAGCTGTTTTTTTCCAAAGTTTATTCAATAAAATTGTACGTTCAGTAAAAGAAGATTGTTTTTTTTAAATGTTTGTTCCAAAAAATCATTCATTAATTAAAACTCTATTGCTTTTTCAAAATCTTTTTTTAAAATTTGTTTGTTCAGTAAAAAAAGACCAAACAGATGGGAGTCACCCATTGTTAGTTTTAAATTGGTGTAACACATTTTTTTGCATTTATCCTGTTAAAATAAAAACCCATTAAAATTCTTTTTTTTTATTAAAGAAATTTTTTCTTTTAACCTTTTAAAAATGAAAAACTTTTTTATTTGTTTTTTGTTTTAATTTTTAAAGTGGTCTTAGATTTGTTGAAAACAATTTGCCTGATAGTATTTTGTACAAAGAATTAAATTAAACCAACATTATGTTCTGTAATCAATCTGTTTAAAAAAAACTATCTCCAACTTTCAAAGCGCAAAACAATAGTTTAGAATTTTGTATTCCAGAATATTGATCTCCACATGCTATGTTTGAATGTGTCACTATTAAAGGGAGTGTTCGCGAAAAATGAAAGGGGGTATAGGCTTAATGCAATAAAAAAAGCGCTTTTGATCGCTACTAATCTTACTTCTATCTGTTGTGTCTATAAGGTGAAAATTGTTAAAGATGTCTCATACCGAATAACATGGCATCCATACAAATTGAGAAAATTTCAACATACGACTTAGACTGTAAAAAAATCAATTTAATTTCAAACAAATCATTCAGATATTACAACCAATAGTTATCGATTATCTTTCGCCACATTTGTATGTAGTTGTAAGCTAAATATTATTTAAAAAAACAAAATCAAAACTAGTATAAAATATTAAATATATACAAATGTGGCGAAAGATAATTGATGACTATAGGTTGTAATATCTGAATGATTTGTTTGATATTAATTTGATTTTGTTACGGTCTAAGTCGTATGTTTCAACTTCCTCAATTTGTATGGGACCTACGCTCTTCGGTATGAGACGTCTTTATCAATTTTCTCCTTATAGACGCAACAGATAGAAGTAAGATTAGTAGCGATCAAAAGCGCTTTTTTATCGCATTAAGCCTATACCCCCTTTCATTTTTCGTGAACACTCCCTTTAAATTTGAGGATCAAAGCTTGCTCCCTTCATTTTAGTTATCCCTAAATATTAAGAATAAATCCCTAAGATGGGGTATGGAGATCAATACTTGATCCCAAGGTTAAAACACAAAAGATGTAACTTTTGTTGTATTTTCCTTCAAACTAACTATAGACTTTAACAGTTTCATATGTCACACAGACTGCAAGGGGAGGAAGAGAACTGGTGTAGATTCTACAACACTGTCTTTCCGCCCCACAAGTCCAAACTTTCTCAGAAGTATTTCTGGTTTAAAAAAAGAGGCAGTTCAGTGTGGAATTATAAAATAGCCCAGTAGGAGGTTAAAATGTTCTAAAAGATCCAACGAGGTTATAGTATATAGAGTGAGGATGTACGCTAATCCTTTACTTATTACAGGCCTTGTACTCCACTTTTAAAGGTCAATCTGTATATTACAGTAGTACGTGAAAAATTTTTTACAATGATGAAAACTTAAAGGGACTGTAAACATTTAATTTTAATTGATCTTTTCCGTTTATAGAGAGCCGTGCACAATACACAACGGTACCTGTAAAAGCTATGTTTGATCAGGAATTCATAATTTTCTCTTTGAAAATAGATTGTTATAACTGGTTTCTCTACAAAGTGACTTGCGGAGTTTCTGCACTTGAAACAATGAGTATATGGTCAGAATTAAACACCCTTTGATCTAAACAAATGCCTATATCTTTCTATATTGATCATTACTGGTTTAAAGAGTATCTTTGTGAATTGGTCATGCCCCTTTGTTCCATAATTTTTTTTTCAAATTGCCGATTGCATTTAACTAGGGTTAACCACTGCTCTTTTACAAGATGCAATATGAC